GGGGGGGGGGGGCGGGTACCAGGGATTAAACTCAGGAGCACTCAACCACTGAGCCACATCCCCAACCTTACTTTATATTTAGTCAGGGTCTCATTGAGTTGCTTAGCACCTTGTTTTTGCTGAGGCTGGCTTTGAACTTTCAATCCTCCTGCCTCAGCCTCCTGAGCTGCTGGGAATACAGGTAGACACCACAGCTCCTGGCTAGATCTGTTTTGAAGATCAGAATTATATTTAGAAATTATTCTAGCACACTTATTCCATTTATTTTTCTTCCCCACTTCCTTCTCTTACCTCTGAAAAGCACCTTGAGATTACCAGTATCAATTCATTAAATACAATCTTCTTAGTATAATTTTTATTCAGTCCAACTATGACACCCTCTTCCCATTAGTATAATTTTTATTCAGTCCAACTATGGCACCCTCTTCCCATTTACACAAACTAATATAGTGTCCTCCATACCATCAAAGCAAGGGTTAAGCCAGGCACAGTGGCACATGCCTATAATCCCAACGCCAACCTCACAAAAGCAAGGCACTAAGCAACTCAGTGAGAACCTGTCTCTAAATAAAATACAAAATAGGGCTGGGGAGTAGCTCAGTGAGCAAGTGCCCCTCAGTTGTTCATCCCTGTTACAAAAAAAATAAMAATTTTTCTGGAGAGTTAAGCAGATCAGAGTATATGCAGTAGTGCAGTTTAGACATATTGTTGCTAGGCTTGAGTGAAAATTATGGTATTAATCCCAGGTACTGAAAAAAAAAGTGGGGGGTAAAATGAGGGCCTAGGGATGTAGAGCACTTGCCTAGCTTGTGAGAGGCCCTGGTTTTAATCTCTGATCCCCCAAAAAATAAAAGTTAGGGGTAAAAAGAAATACTAAAAAGAATTAAATAAATGTCGACATATAAAATCTTGAGACTTTGTGATAGATTGGTAGTTATTTGTATTTCAATATTTATTTTTCTCTTCTTTTATAGCAATAACAGAATCCTGGCAAGGCATGGTGGCACAGAGCCTGAAATCCCATCAGCTCCAGAGATTGAGGCAGGAGGATCAGGAGTTCAAAGCCAGCCTCAGCAAAAGCAAGGTACTAAGCAACTTAGTGAGACCCTGTCTCTAAATAAAATACAAAATAAGGCTGGGGATGTGGCTCAGTGGTTGAGTGCCCCTGAGTTCATCCCTATACCACCCCCCCAAAAAAAAACCACCACTGGTTAAACAGGTAAATCTTTCACACAAATATATCCCAACTACAATGACATTAAATTGTCATAATCCCATACATGAAGCTTCACAGTTCTTAAACAGCAAAACAGACTGGGTGTGCTGGCACATGCCCATCCCACCAATTCTGGAAACTGAGGCAGGAGTATAACAAGTTCAAGGCCAACCACAGCAATTGTGGTGAGGCCCTAAACAATTTAGTGAGACCTATCTCAAAATTAAAAGGGCTGGGGACTTGGTTCAGCAGTAAAGCACCCCTGGGTTCAATCTCCAATACAAAAAACAAATTTTAAAAAAACAGTACATTAGTAAGTATCAACAAAAACCCTAACACAGATGGAAAAAAACAGCCAGGCACAGTGGCACACACCTGCAATCCCAGCAACTGGTAGAGGCAGGAGGATGGCAAGTTCAAAGCCAGCCTCAGCAATGAGGGAAGCCCTAAGCAAATTAGTTAGACCTTGTTTCAAAAAATAAAAAGGGCTGGGGGTGTGGCTCAGTATTTAAGTGCCCCTGACTTCAATCCCTGGTACCAAATAAACAAAGATGGAACAAACCACTTGTGGAAATASAAATGGCAAACTCCAAAGATTACTGCACTAAACAATGAATTTTCATCTAGATGATTTCTCTTCTAAAATATGACACCAGACAACTAAGTCAAAAGTAAATGCATTACATAAGGCTTTTCTGAGTTTTATCATTCCTTCCTACCTCTATAATTCAAACTGTATTTTTTAATATAAAGAAAAAGGTTAATAACTAGTTAGAAAGCTAAGAATGACAGGAATTGATTTAGCATTTAGACAATCACTGATTACCTTAAGCAACGTTATTTAAATGGCGTAAGGGACAGAAGCCAAACTTAGGGTTTTGTTGGTTTTTTTTTTTTTTTTTTTTTTTTTTTTTTTT